TTTTTGCAAAGAGAGACACAATACTTTGCATGTGTATTTCCAAAAAAATGAATGATATGTATGAAGTGGAAGAAACTCGGAAAGTTTTATTTAAATTAGTAGCTATTACTTTAGGGAATACTGTACAAATGGCAAAGTAGGAAGATGAGTTAAAATGCAGTTATTTAATTTATAGATTTGGGGAGATATTGCTGAGTGGTTTGGTTCAATGCCAGAGATCTTATTAATGCTTTTATCATTTTGAAATAGCACAAACAACTCTCCAAAACAAACTATTTGAATCATTGAAAAAGTCTCATTAAAATTTCTTTTGAATCATTTAATTTATTCATTCATTATATTTTGCTTTTTTTTTTATTTCCTCATTTTTATGCTAATTTATTTTTTGATATTGATTAAAAGCCTTTTTTTTTCTCCTTTTTATTCATGAATTAATCATCTAAATGAAAAAATTTTTTTTTAGGATAATGTAATTTTTGAATTTCACAACTTGAACAACATTCATTTCTTTTATCATTTGATACTTTTTATTAGTTTATTTACTTTTTCTTTTTAAAATAGTAATTCGTTGTATTTATCGATTATAGAAATAGGAGCAAAGGAATCTTTGAAATGTTACGTTATCTTTATGACTTTTGATATTATATATGTTATACTGAATTTAAATATTTCATAAAATTAAATCTGTTAAGGGACGATAAAAAAAATCCATGATAAGTAATCATTGATTTGAAATGTAGTTGATTTGTGAAAAGTGAATTACGCCAAATGAGGTAAGTCAGTTTATCCATTGGTTTTTATTTCACTTATCACCACCATTTTATCATATTTTATCAGGTAGCATATACTGTCAAATTTGTTAATAAATGATCGATTACATTCAAATTATAAATATTTTTTAAACATTGAAAATAAGCAAGTTTAGTTGAATTTAATGATACCATATTGATGAGAATATAATTTTAATGCAACCACAACAAATTGTAAAATGCGTCATTTTTTTTCAAATTTAGTATTTAGCAGCAGATCCACTTTTTATCAATAATTCACTATTTGACCTTTTAAATTTTATTAATTAAATTATTATAATCATTTTTTGAAGGCAATTGTAGGAATTACTCCGGTTTGTATAAGATTTCATTATTCAAAGAATTTTGAAAGCATTCTGCTCCAAATACTTTTGAATATTTTTTGTTTTAAAAATTAAAATTTATTACAATAAAAATTTCGTCAATCTATTTTACGTAATCAGAAGAGAAAGAAAAATTAGCAGCTATTGTAGATGCAACGATTGTCGAGAATAAATATTCAGTAGAGAAGTGCGTAGATGAAATGTGCGTCGGTTCAGGATCCGGTTTATGTCGGTTAAGTGAATTAACATCCGCTCAACTTGGTTTTACCAGACAATTGGTACTTTCATTTTTGCTGTACCGTGACAATAAAGTAAAATATTGATGAAATAAGAAATTCTTAGAAAAGATGCCTTCATTCAATATTTCTACATTTTTGCATTTTAAATGCTAAAGGTGCAGATTATGAATGATGAACGTTTATCCGGAAAACGAATAAAAATTTATAATCTGATTGATGAAATTGATAACATTCGTGCTATCGATAATACATGTTCGGATTGGATATTTTCAGGCTTCGAATAATATCACAGAATAATTGGTTTTTAATTTCTAATCATTTAATTCATTTATCATAAAAGATCATTTTGAACGATAAAAAAAATAGAGAAAAGATTGGCGTAAATAAAATATTTACTGTTATGCTAATTAAATAAACTAATCAATTGATTTATTTGATATTTGATAATTATGTTGATAAAAGGTCAAATGAAAAATTTTAGGTTCATCATACAGCTCTTCCGCATATCACTCTGTTGTTTGCTGCCATATGCTACATTATTGTGGGCAGTTTATCATTTACAGCATTTTCGTACATTGATGATCATACAGAATTAGATAGCAATATATTAGCTGAGTAAGTACAAAACAAAATTTTGTTTTTTTTTGCCATAAATTAAATTAATTGATCGGATTATTTTTAATTTTTAATCATTCAATTTATTTATCACATCCAATGATGATTTTGAGTAATTGAAATATTTTAAATTCAAAATTCAAAAAAGATTCACTGTAACAAATCGATTGATTGCAAACATTTATTGAGGTTCAAATGAAATGATATGCAAGAAGATGCGATGTGTAACTTATAATTTCTACAATTTTNTTTTTTTTTTTTTTTTTTAAATTGCAGTTTAAATGTTTAAGAGGTTATGATAGATTTTAGAATGAAGAAAAATTTAACTGCTGAAACAATTCGACCACGTTCAATGAAGGAACGAAAAGTAAATTTGGAAAAGTCATTGGATAATTATGCTTCTAAACTTCACAAAATATTTCAAAAATATATTCGTCAATCGTTTATGCAAAAGCCGACAATTGTATGTATCACTTCTTTTTATATGAATACAATAGTGTTATTTTTTTTTTTCAATTAAGCTAATTTTTTTTTTCAATAGTATCGTCTTTTTTTTTTTAGTTGAGCACAATAGCGTCATATTTTTTAAAAACATTTGAAAACAATACAATGCAATATGAAAACGATAAAATATATATGAAATGATATGAATATTCTTTCACATGCAAAGTATACTATGATTTTTTTTTGCTTTCCAAATGAAATTTAAGAGGATGTTTTATTTTGTAAAATTGATTTTAAAATATTACACATTTGATATTATCTGTAGGAAATTATTATTCAATGATGCTATATATTTTCATTTTTTTTTATTTAATTTTATCTTAAAGATAGAAAGATTACATGAAAAGGAGTATGTGACCTCGAAATTAATGTGGAATTTATTCTTTGCAGCAACTGCGCTAACATCAATTGGTGTGTTTTTCCCCAATATGCTTTTAATTTTATAAATATTTTAGATTTTTTTTCTCAAAAGTTCAAAATTGAAAAATTGAAATTGTATTTTTGAAATAATAGATTAATGATATGAGGAATAAAATGGTTTCATTGATGATTCATTAAATAAGAGCTAATTTTTAGGATATGGTAGTAATGTTTCTGATTCATATTTTGCTCGCTTTTTTATCATCGTTTATCTATTTATTGGCATTCCATTGTTTCTCATTACACTTACTGATTTAGTAAGTATTTCATTATTTAAGTATTAAATTAAAGCAGCACTTACATGATGTTTTAAAGAACAGATATTAAATTAAGATTAGATTTCCTGTTCTAAATTTGACCAAAAATGAGTTCTTGAAAAAAAAAATGATTGAATTACAATAATTTTCAGCTTATAGTAATCGAAAAAAATTGTTCTGAAATATTAATTGATTATTTTTAGGCTAAATTTTTTACCGAATTTATGAATCGATTATATGCAGAAGTGTTAAAGCATAAAGTTATTACAAGTCGTAGACTTAAAAGTCGTTTCGAAGTGCCAATCGATGAAATTATTATTTCCGGTGGCGAAGATGAAGTATTATATTACTTATTTAAACAGAAAAATCTTTTCAATTTTTCAATTTAAACGGTTACATTCTAAAAGATGCTGATTAATTAGGAATTGATTTTTAAATTCGAATTTTTTTAAAATATTTATTGGGATACTTTGAAAAGTAAGTTTTAATAAATATTGAATGGAAAATGGAATATTTCTTTATAGGTGGCAGAATTTTTATGGGCTAATTTGGAGAATGCGCATTTTGTTGAAGTACCTTTTATTGTAATTTATATTTTGCTATTTACATATGTAATTGGTGCAAGTTACCTCATTTCATGGATCGAAGGATGGAGCATTTATGATGGTCTTTATTTTGTTATAATATCAATGCTTACAATCGGTTTCGGAGGTTACTTTCATAAGCATTTCATTCTATTTCAATTTTTTAATTTAAATTTAAAAAAAAGAGATGAATATATTTTGCTGAAAAAGTTTGCACATTTTGATTGAAAATTAATTTCATTAAAATTTTTTCATTCCTTATTTTCAAGCAGTGGACAATATATTTTTAATCGATCAGCTGATTGATTAGCAAATTAAATTTGCCATTAAATGATTATAATAAAAGTGTAATTAAATTTAATTTGAAAGTTATTGTCGAATTTCTTGATAATGTTGTAAAATGGTTTTAGATTTAGTACCTCGGAACCAATCGTTCATATTGCTCACATTATTGATCATATTATTTGGAATGATTTTAGCAACATCATTTCTTGATGTTATTGGCTCATATTACATTGATCGATTACACTTCTTTGGGCGTAATCTTGATCTTGAAGTATCAACTTTTTATTTTAATTTTTATTTTGCAAATAGCAAATATCCAAAGTGATGAACAAAAAAAGAAAGATTAATTGATAGATAGATTTTTTGAGTGTTCAGTATCATAAAGATGGTATTTTGCTGTCCTGATTGTACTGTGAAATTTGCAAAAGATAAACTGATTTGTAGGATTCACTTGAATGGCTCAAAAAAGTTCAACAGCGACGTCTGATCGCAATGAAACGTGAAGCGATGCGTAAATTATTCGAAACCGTCTCTTCGCTACAACATATGGAAATTGGTCAGGAATTTCGTGAAATAGCTACTTAAAATTTATTATTAATTAAATAATTAAAATGACTCGTAAATTACTGCTGTCTTTAGCATTAATTTCGGGATTATTTTGATGGAATGTGGAAGGAAAAAGCAGTACACTGCTCGCAAATGTATGATTTTAAGCTATAAATTGCATGCATTTGCAATTTATTCTGTGATATCAATTCTTTTCATTGCTCTTACAACAACAATTTTAATTTTGAAGAAATATTTGCAGATTTTCGGTTACAACAAAATCGGACCGAAATGAATAATACGCTATTAATTGGTATATTACATTAATTAATGTAGTTGTGTTTATTTGATAAATTTACTAATATTGAATTAAAATAGCACTACTTCATTGACAAATAAAATAATCGATGAATGAAAATTGTTAAATTTCAAAACACAAATTTATGCATTCTTAAAATTTCACCCTTTTTACGTTCTCAGTTTACTTTTTACTTATCTCTCTCTCTCTCTCTCTCTCTTTCTTCCTCTCTTCCTCTCTTCCTTCCTCTCTCTCTCTCTCTCTCTCACTCTCAATGATTACTTGTATATTTTTCTAGATCCACCTCATCCACCACGAAATTTGCGAGCAATTGATTCAACAGCCGATTCGATAGCTCTTACATGGGATCCTCCATCACATGATAATGAAGGAAGGCTTTTTTGGTATACGATTGCTTATCAAATAAGGTTAATAATTTCTTTCCTTTTTCTCTCTTTCTTTGTTTCAAAATTTTGCTAGAATTTAATTACTACGATATATATATATATTTAATTACTACTATTTGTATACATTTAATTACTACTATTTGTATACATTTAATTACTACTATTTGTATACATTTAATTACTACTATCTTCTCTCTTTCTTTATTCCAAAATTTTGCTAGAATTTAATTACTATTATATATATATGTAGTTAATTACTACTGTTTGTATACATTTAATTACTGCTATTCCTTTTAATTACTAGCATTTGTATATATTTAATTACTATTATTTGTATATAAATTATGAAATGAATTACATATTTGCTTAATGCAGAACACCTCGAAAACGAAATAATCCGGTAAAAGTAATTGAATTTATCACTAATGAACAATATTTGGTTACCGGTTTGCGCTCCTTCACACTTTACTGTTTTTCGGTTACAACAACAACCAGATTGGGAAGTAGCAAACCAATTACATGCTATGAATATACTGGTATCTTACAAAAAAAAATTTTTTTTTTTTAACGAATAATTAAATTAAATTACAATAATTCAATTTTTCAAAATATTCGCTATTCCAATTTTTTTAGCGATTTTGGAAATTTTTTTTTTTCATTTATTGCTCTTTTTACATTATGATTGTTTTAAGTAGTTTAATTTTTCATATTAAAATTAGATTATTTTAATAATTATTGAGAACGATTATAAATGTTAATAGCATTGATAAATGGATATGAAAATTATCAAATCTATCCACTTCACTATTTCCATCTTTCCTAATGTTAATTTCAAACTACTTTAAAAATTTAATTTTAGAACCATGCACTGTTCCACAGTCACTATCATTGGAAGCATTAAGCTGTGAAACGGCAACATTTATCTGGGATTCTCCACATAAAAATATTGGACCTGAGGTAAAAATTGTATTCAATTTTTTAAATTGCATTAATTTAATTTTCCAAAATATCCTGTTTAATTTCGTTGCAGCAATCTGAAAATATTAGCCATGTGGAAAAATAGATGAAAAATGAAGCACTACAAGTGCAATGCTAAAAATTACTTTAAGTTATTTTTTATTGAATTATACTTTTCCAGTTTACTTACTTATTCATCATAGTATTTCTCAAAAATTCACTCAAATTTTGCTCGTTAAAGTGATTTACTCATATTACTCAGTTAATATTTCTCAAAAATATATACGCATAAATGTTGAATTAAAAATAAATGCAAAATTTGATATAATTAATTATTTTTAGAGTTACGCACTTTTAATCAGTAAAGAGCCTGCACCACAATTCTCTTCTTGGCAACTTTATAGTTGTGATAACAACAAAAGTTTTACAGTAACTGAACTTTTACCAAATACCAGGTAAGTTTAATAATTTATCTTTTTGCTTATGTAACGGTTTAAAAAATGTAAATAGTAATTTATAGAATTTTTTTTTTTTTTAACGAAATAAATGGACTGAATGTGATCGGTTTTCCAGCGAAAATATAACAAGACTTAAAATTAAAAAAATAATATACAAAATGCTTTTAAAAGTTTTATAATGTTAAATACGTACATGCTTAAAGACTATTACTACAATTACAAATTTAAAAAAAAAAAAACACTTTCTTCACTTTTTTTAGATTTCTTTAAAAATTTGAATGTCAACGTTACTAAATTATAATTATACAAAAAAAAAAACAGCCACGAAAAAATAAATTGTCTTAATTGTATTATTTACTAAAATTTTATTTTTCTTCCTTTATTTTTTCAGGTACATAGTTTGTGTTATAGCGAAGCATAATTCTGGTTTAGCAACAGTGTCGAAAAGTTTACGATTTAAAACAAAGAAACATTGGTTTAGTGGAAATTCCATTCATCAATCATCATCAAATAATTCGAGAATGCCTTGCAAATCATCATTTTAAAAAATCAACGCTGCTACTACGATATATATATATATATTTCCAACCTCAGCTGTTAATTAATTTTCTAAATTTATGAATACTTGTATAGAATTGATCAATTTTACTTGCTCGTTTCATCACAAAAATGATTAATAATATCATCTGTATAATTTAAATTGATGAGAAAAAAATTTTAATAATTTCAATTTAAAATCGTTTGGACCCGTGAAATTTTAAATCTTAAATTTTTTTTGAAATATTATTTGTGCTGTAGTTTATTCTCAAAGAGATTTGAAATGGGAAAAAAAAAAGAAAAAAGTTATTCAGTGGATTAAAAACAATCAAATTAATGAATTGACAAAATATTAATTAATAATGTTGTAAAAACAATATTAAACCTGAAATTTTCTATGCGATTGCGTTTTATTTTTAAATCCATTTTCATTTCTCTATGCTTTATTTCCAGGTAAATATATCCATTGTATTCCATTCATTAATTGAAATTAAATTATTGGATTGTTCAAAAGTATGGCATAAGCGCAGAACGCATTAGTGTTAAACATTATAGCATCATTCAGATATTTTATGGTATTACAAAAACACAAAAAATTTATTCTTGGAATTTTGAACTTTGCGATACATTTTCAGTGTTGTCTTATTCATCATGAAAATTCCATTTTTGAATTTGCTCAAGTAGTAAAATAATCTTTTTTCTTTGATCTCGAAAGTATAACTGCGCATATTTGGCAAAAATACTTTTATTAATTTGAATAACTAATTTGAAATTGAAAAATATTAATATAATATGTGTTAAATTTACAAGTAATTTAGTGATTATCTTAGATAAATTTAATGTCGGTTGCATTGGTGCAATATTTTCCACAAAAATTACAAAATTATTTTTATGCACTTGTTTATGATCAGGTCTTTTGCGAAACATTCTTTAACCTTTATTGTAAATAATTTCACCTATGATAACATACGCAAGAGGTCAAAGTTGAAAGAAATATAGCATAGGGGAAAGAAATATCTGTTTGAATATCCTATATAATGTGATTTTATTTCAATGAATTCAAAAACATTTTTATTTTTTCAGCTGTTAATTAATTTTCTAAATTATGAATACCTGTATAGAGTTGACCTATTATTTAAAAACTATTTAAGTGGTCCGTAACTTTTTTTTTTAAATAAATTGGAAGATGTTCAAAAGCGATTAAAAAGAATAAAAGTTTTGAATAAAAATTTTATGAAATTAAGCAATTGAATCTTCTGATTCAGAAGTATAGAATATTGGAGAAAGCGGCATTTTTAATCAAAACAGCATATTAATTCCCGGAATTTGAAAATGGATAATATCAGAATTTGAAAATGAAAATATTGCAAAATAAAAATATCTTTTCAAATATTCCAGTGGCATATGTCTGCAAGAATCTTACGATATTTGCATGAGAAATCAGGAGCAGATCAATGCTATTTAGCAATTTTTATCATTTCCGGTATTTCAATCTATTTAATTATCGGTGATTATGCACGATTTGTTGCAAATACAATTCTTACCGCAGTACCAATTTTGCTCACCTATGTTTATCCGGACGAGAAACCACCATTCGATAATCTTTTATATTACTGGTAAGAGTGTTACGATGATCACTGCTATTAATCTATCAGTTTAGGGTTATTTGAAAAAAAAAAAAAAATTTAATATATTTGCATGGATAATTCATAAATTCATAAGATTATTCATTAATGCATAAAATTATTCAAAAATTATTCATAATTCATAAAAGCATACATTTTCACTATCATCTTTGATGTTGAATTGAACTTTGAGTATATTCAAATGATCAAAAGAATTAATGCATTTTTCTTCATTCTTCGTTTTATCCATTTCCACTTTATATCATTTCATTTCATTGATCGAATAATTTTTTCAATTCTTCTTTCTATCATTAATACGCTTTGTTTTGCCTCGTTTAATAATGCAAAGTTTTTATTTTACAAATTAATTTTCTTTCAATTTTAATAAGTTTTAGATTTATAATTTCATCTATTTCTAGGATTATATATGTTATTGCAACATTGTTTTTTGATCCGGAATTAGAAGATAAGGGAAGCTATTATTGGATGAAAATGCTTCTGCTAATACTATTAGTAGTATTTCCCGGAGAAGCTGATATGACAGTATCAAATGAACATGTTGGTATATTTATAGATTATGCTAATTTTCATTCCGTCTTTTAAATTTTTCATTAAACAAAATGCAAAATACTAAAATATGCAAAATGCAAAATAACAAAATACAAAATACGCAAAATACGAACTAATTATCTTTCAATTTTAATGAGTTTTGGATTTATAATTTCATTTATTTATTGTTATTTTCCTACAATAACATATCATCATTTGATACTTTGTAATGCTTTTTCCTTTTTGTATTATTGTAGTAATTTTGTGTACCATTAATAGTGATGCATTTTCAAGATGACAATTTTTTTATCTTTCAATTCGATAGTTTAACATTATGTTTGTCTTTTATTTCATTTTATCAAATCTAAAGTTATATCTCATTCTATCATATCTTCTTTTATCAATTCAAATATATTCAGGGAAAGGTGTTAAATGTAAATTTGAATGCAAAGTGATCGTTGTAAATTTAATCGTTTAATTTCATTCTAGAAAGATGAAAACAATCATTCGGAAAAAGTAATAACTATTACGACTAATGTTTTAAATAAGGATGATAAATCCGATCAACGATCTTCCGAGAAAAAATTCCATCTTTTATCTGCTAAGCATCCTCTCACAAAATATCAAATCATTCGACAACAGCAAGCTCGAAATATGACGAAATCTCAAGTTGATGCTCTAAATGAGCTTAAAACTGCTTCAACTCCAATCAATTCTTCAGCTATAATAGCTTCAAAATCTGAAAATCTTTTAACTGCTAATAATGCGGAAAAAGATGGAACCATTCTGAAAGAGAAATCATTATCTGCAAATGTTCAGCCTTATCAAATTCCATCTAAAAAACAAGAAATTCCTGTGCATGATGTTCCACAAATGAAAACAAAGTTGGATCTCGAAACAAAAAATTCCGGAACACATACTACATCGATAGCTGATTCGTTGATTATTCCTGAAACTAAATTCAATGTTTTCGTGGAAAAATTTCAAACTGCTACTTCATCAAACAATTCCCATTCAATAGCAGCAGAAAAGAACGATCATCAACCGGCAAAAAAATCGCAAATGTTTGGAGAAGAAAAATTTTCAGATAGTTCTTTTATTACAAAATCTGAAATTATTTCTGCACAAGCGCTTCCAATTACTTCTGCAAGCAGATCTCAAATGATATCATCAGAAAAGCAAAAAATTGATTATGAAGAGCTGGCTCAATTTACACCAGTAAGGATTTCGCAATCTGTTTCCGTGAAACAGGATAAGATAGTTTCTGTAAAGGAATCAGAAATATTTTCTGCACGAAAGCTTCAACCTTTATGCACCAAAAAGTATGATGCAATAAAGATTCCACAAGTTGTTCCAAAAAAAGATTCTCAAGCTTTTTCAAGAAATGAACCTCAAATTCGGAAAATTCAGCTTCCTCCTTCAAGAAAACCTGAAACTACATATTTCAAGATTGTCCAGATTAAGGATAAAAAGAAAACAGAGGAATTGCCAGGAATTTTACTAAATGAATCTATAATAGTTCCAGCTGATAAACATCAAATTATTGATTTGAAAGAATCTGAGGGCACCACAATGCATGAATCTATGATTAACTCTAGCTCGGATCGAGGAATTCAGGTTAACTTTCGGTTAAGAAATTTAAACTTATTCATTGAAAACAATTGGAAATTTCTACCGTGAAAAAATTTAGGGAGCGCTAAATAATAAAATTATTTCTGTTAACAAAAAAAAATAATTTTCAAGAAGAAAAAATTCAGATTTTTTTTGCGAGAAATTTTGCAAATTATTTTTGAATCATTTCATCATTGAGTTTTATACTGATGCCAGGAAGTCTCGAATGACATCCATAAAAATTTATCGCAGAAGAAATAAAATTTTTTTTGACCAAAAACCTGAATTTCATTCATTTGTAGGAACTTCAAAATATCTCTACGCAAAGATCTCGAAGTATTTTATCCCAAACACCTGAAATTATTTCGACAAATGAAATTCCCCTTACACCATTAAAAATTTCTACCACTGCTTCTACCGAGAAATCTTACAATGTCTCGGATAAGGATAGTGCGAACTCTCATGTTACTCCAAAGCATGAATTAAAAACAGTTTCGGTAGAAGAATTGCAAATTCCTGAGGCTCTTAAAGAGCAACAAATTTTGCACGAAAAGGAATCCGAAATTGCTCCAAAATTGAAGACTGAATCGATGGTGCAGAATCCTTCCGCTGTGAAACTTCAGATTTCTTCTTTGAAAGAATCTGGCACAGTACCTCCAGTAGAAACTCAAATTGATCCTACGAAAGAAATAATTAATACATCTGAGAAACAACCGATAACCATTTCCGATACAATTAGTGATTCTGAAAAAAATGATAATGATATTGAAGCGAAAATTTCTCACGATACTTCTGAAGAGAAAAAGTCATCTAACGTTATCACGTGGGTTGCAACTGGAAAAACCGTCGTTTCAATGCAAAATGTACAAACTAAAAAGGTTACTTTAGTCTATTTCAAATTTTCTAACTGAATTCATGAACTTCTGAATTTTTGTAATGTTTACACTCTACAAGTTAAAAAGTTTTAATAGTGTAAAAATTGGTATTTGATTGTGTTGTTCAGTGATAATCAAAACGAACTTCCAAGTATGAAGAAAAAAATTGAAATTCAAAGTATCACATATATAAGACAAATTAATCAGAAAGAACAAAATAAAATATTTGCAAAAAAAAAAAAAAAACCTGAAAATTTTACTAGTATTATGGATTTGATGGTAATTAGCATCATTTGGAAGTATTGTACCTGCGACCTTTCAATTATAATTAAATGATTAAAGATCAGGCCTAGTAAATAAGCGGTTAAGACTTAAGGCTTTCCAAAAAATTATTCAAATTCCAATTCCACTCAACATTTTTAATTGTCTTTTCAGCCTAACAAATCACAATGAAATAATTGGAATTTTATATTTGCTATGTTAAATAAATCATTTGCATTTTTTCAAATTAATAAAAGCAATTTAGTGTCCTTAAAATGACAACCCATCATTGATTGTATTTTGTCAAAAAGAGAAAAACAAAAAAGCTATTATCGTATTGCGAATATATTTGTGTGCAAAAATTTTCCATGCAAAATCATCAAAACATAACCCTCTTCAATCCATTTGTTAGCTGAAGTGTTGATTCAATTGATGGAGTGTTTTTCCATTTTTCCTTAATTTAACTGATATTGCTATAAATGAAATTTTTAAATTCAATGCATTATCATAAATTTGTATGTAAAATACCAAGAAAACAAAAACACAGTGTAATCACTTTAAAATGATTAGAAAAAAAAATGATTTAGGAAAAAAAAAACCTATTTTATTTTTTATTTTTTTAAAGAAATTTCAGCTAAAAATTTGATAATTATGTAAATTATATTTCATATACATACAAACACGCACGCACACACGCACACAATCTTTTGATCAATATAAATGGGATAAAAAAAAAATGCAAAGTTTACTGTTTTATTATCACTTCTGTTAACACGAATGACGGATGCAATTGACTCAGACGACTTGTACAATCATTTACAATCACTTATTTTTGATCAGGTTATAATCGATTGTCAATCAAATATGTAAAATCAATCAAATATTGTTTTGCTTATATAATATTACCCGATTAATTTAAAACGGATCTTATCTGATAGTAAAAGAATAATTATTACTATCATTAATATAATTATAAAATTATTGGTTACATAAGAAATCATTCTGTTTAGGAATGCAATTTAGAGAATAAAAAACTGAAAATTATAAATGAAGAAAAATTTGAATTTTGAAAATTTTAGCCGAAGTAGTTATATTTTTAATTAAAATTCCAGAAACATATGACAGGTCGAGGATTACGATTTTTGCATGAAAAGACAGGTTTAGATGAATTCAATTTGGCTGTTCTCATTGTTGCTATCACATCTGTATACTTAATGATGGGAAAAGATGCGCAAATGTTAGCAAATGCAATTCTTACGCTGACGCCAATCTTACTTACTTATGTTTTTCCGGCTGAAAAACCGCCTACACCACAACTTCTTATATATTGGTACAATTATTTGTTATTAAATACATCATTTTTATAACTCAATTAATGTTTAGGGTTGAAATTTTGAAGATTTTTCAAAAGAGCCGAAAAGAATGTAACATTAGCGCCCAGCATTCACCAGCTTCGTTACTTATCATTCTTCCTACCTAATTCAAATCATTATCATTCTTTCATTATTCAAATCAGTTACACCATTAACATTCATTAATATGAGTGAAGAAAATATTATGCAATTAGTTATACA